ACGCCATTTTGGAAAAAAAAAGATCCCAAATGGTCGAATTTTAGCCATTGCCCATAACATACACTTAGGCAACATTTTTTTTTGTTATTTGGCAGATAAAACCGATCGATCAATTCAACTGCCATGCTTCGTAATAATTTCTTTCTTTTGGAATTGAAGTCCAACTTTAAAACATGAGCTGTTCTTTGAAAGATAATAGAGATCGAACAATTCAACTTAAATACTAAACAGAAGAGTAAATGTAACAGTTATGCCACTAGTGCTCCAATTGTCAGCCCTAGGCCCTAAATCACATTTGAGATTAATTTTCATGGATTCATTTGCGTAGATGCTTGTCAAAACATATCAGGAGTGATTTGAGATTTGGGTATAATTGCTGTTGTAAACAATCACGTTAATCACCGATTTCTCGCGAACAATAACTCAATCTCGTAAGAAAAAACCTATATTGAATGATACAGGAATCATTCCTCTACCTGAAAGTGTTATTAGTTTTCGTGATTGAGCTTTTATTCGTGAGAAATTGGTGATTGACGTGTTTGTTAACAAAAGCAATTACGCCCAAATCTCAAATCACTCTGGATTTTTTTTTAACTCTGCAGCGAAATTAATTTTGTAATGAATGAAGAAAATGTGAAATTCAAGAAAGGATCAATTAGAGGACCACTAGGGCCAAAAACTGATACACTTACCCTAATTTATCATCTTGATGTTAAATCCATCGTAAGAACATGAGAAGTTCTTTGAAAGATAAAATTAAATAAACAATCCTACTGAATGGCATGCAGGGAAACGGGTCATTTTCAAAAATGGTTCATTGAGACTAATGGGATACTCAGGGTGATGAGCTTTTTGGGTTAATGCCATAGAGGCCCTTCTGGAGAAGATTGTATCATTTATGAAGATCCTCTCTCATACTAATCTTCCGTAAATAATTTTCCAAGCAGGAATGTCACCACTCGGAGACTAGAAAATCCCGGTCTTGTACTTTTAATTTGCTCGTCAGCTCAAAAATTCAACAGAACCTTAGTCCAACATGTAACGATTCCCAACGGAAAGCGAGTACTTAAGGTTAATCTATCTAAAGACTATGAAGAATCTCACGGCTCCTAGCTTGATGGGTTCCTCGTATGTTTGCATACTCTTTCAGGCCCTATCATACGATCTCAATAGGGAAAAGCTGTACTCTTCCTAGTCATAGTTGATTGGGTAGCGCAATTCTTTTTTTTTCGTGCAGAGCATCCAGCAAATATCTGCTTTTCTGGACCTAAAGGATCATCGCTTCGGACTCTGGACCTCAATTTCGTTCGCAAATCTTCCAATTTTTGCTCAAAATATGTGTCACAATCCACCATGAAAAACGCTTTCTATACACCAATGAGTAACGTTGCTGAACGGACTAATCGTACGCTGATCATTTGTGTCATACTCTGCTATTTCCGTTAATTTTACATTCTCTCGTTCTTGGGGATATTGACTGGTAGCAAATCTTATAAAGAGCGTAGCTACCCAGCTTGTTTGCCTGAAGGTATGTTGTAACAGGTGTATCATCCGATGGTCGACTATCGTTAATACAGAGGTATCGATTAATTCTTTGGCACATAGTACCTTTATATAAGTTTGAACGATTTCTCATAACAGAAATGGAACACCAGTCAATCACCACGAATAAAATGACCTTACTCCCTCTCTCTCACACACAACAGCTAGGACCTAGTGCATGTCCTAATGTCCCATTTCCGGATCAGTAAAACAGTTTGAACTTGTAGCTAGTTTCCGTATATCATACAAGGTTTTACAAAATAAAAACAAAATTTTGTATCCAACACGCAAAACTAATTTTTCGTACATTGAATCGAAGACAACATATCAAGAAGACTGGCAACTCTTCAAAGGTAAATGCTTCGAATGAATTGGATAGCAAAGATTCCATCATCAGAATAAAGGTTTGTGTATTTGCTCATTCTTCTATGCATCGGTTCCACCTTTGCTCGTGCGCAGCGCTACTGTGTCTGTCACTTGGATTCAGGCAAAGTTGCCAGTCTTCTTTATATGTTGTCTTCGATTAAATGAAGGGTTGGATTTCTTACATCCTCTGCATATGTTACCTACTAAAAAATGAACGGCATTTCTTTTAATGGACGCTGCGTACATGCAAGTTTCTCCAGAATGTAGTTTTTTTATTTGTTGAAAATCATCAAGAGATGATTTTAGCGGCGTCGGTGCATAATGGGTGAATCCGGTCGCAATTGGAATTATTTTTCATGAATTATTATTTTTATAACATTTTTTTTCAGATTCTCTGGTAAATTTTAGTCTCAAATAGAAAATATCAGGATAATGCGGCAAGATCTGAATTTCGTGCCTAGCGGTAAAAATTAAAATTTATTGAAAAACTGTAAATTTTTGACAATACATTGATCTTCCTAGAAATTCAATAAATATGAATAGTTCATATCGATTGCATCATTGTTTTGTATTCTTAACGATAACACCTATCACTTCATACAATAAAATGACCTTAAATCCTTTGTTAGCATTGTTTAACAAAGTTATCATACTACTTAATCTGAATTTTAAAATGAATCTATAACTAAAATGCACCAATTTGCGTAAATATGGGGTTTGTATTGTCCTTGTACGCTCCACATTTTGCTCAAGTTTGTACTTTTGTGTTAAAATTGATAATTTTAATGAAGATCTATTTTTTCGATAATATTTAGCAGGGTTGAAAATTCTCTAGGGAGAATCACTCGGGTGAAAGAGATATCATTCTCTAGGGTGAATCTCTGCTTGTCTCTTCGGAGATTTATCCTGGCACCACTGGAGAGATTGATAGGCACAGCACGAGAGAGTGAGAGAGTTGTCTGTTCACTGTTCGTCTGTTTATACACTCACTTCCGTGAGAAAGATGGCAGCGTTAAGGTGTTATTGTTTCTCCAAAGATTCCAGCAGAACTTTACGTGCGTGACTGAAAACATCAACGTATACAGCTTTCTCAAAGGCATCTTCGACGTGGCTGTTGAAGTTTAGCCGGTCATCACTCCCAGGTATTTCAGTACACGCTTTGAGGTTATGGCGTGCCCCTGACAGTGATATCTGCCCGCTGTACCGCTTTACAGTTACTGGCCAATAGCACTTCCGTTTTGTGGTGGGCTATCTGCAGCTTCGCTCCTTGCATCCAGTTACTAATCATGTCGATCACTCTCGGTCGCCAACACTTTCACCACGTCCAGCCGTCAAGACGACGTCGTCCGCAAATCCAACGATCTCAACCCATTTGAGCAGCTTCAGCGTTAGCACGCCGTTGTACATCCCGTTCCAGAGCGTTGGGCCAAGGATGGAGCCTTGTGGAACTCCCGCTGTGATCCAAATCGATCTCTGTCCCATGTCTGTCTGTCGACTAAACTGAAGCAAATTTCAATAATGATGCGCTGATGCACTTCCCGAATTACCCTTTTTCAAAATTTGTACATTATTATTTTTACCAAATTTTAAAATAATTGGGTACAAACTATACATTAATTGAAAAAGTAACCTTTAAAAAATCTTTGTATGCAATAAACTAACAACCAAAATCTTCACCGGGCACCGGGGTGATTCTGCCCGGTGAAGCAAACGAACTCTCTACGGTGCTACCTAGTGATCACTCATACGCTCCGGTGTGTTGGACTGGTGGAGGTGCGAACGTCAGAAACTGTACAGTTTGTTTGCGAAGAGGGAGAAGCGGTAGAACGTGAAAACAAAATCAAAATCTCTCGGGTGAGTTTGCTTTTGTCATAGTGCGAGGTGTCTTTTCAACACATCACCCCTGCTTACACTGGGAAGAATGGCATCCATGATTTAGGAACCACCCTAAGGTAGCAACTTTGTCTTGAACTATAGCGCTAAAATTGTGTATGGATAATAAAAAAGAACTGTGCAATGACCCAGGAAAAGATGAAATTATTGATTGCAATTTTCAGCATGTTTACTTTTAAAAATCCTTTTGCCAAAATTTAGAATCACCCTAGAATATTGTTATTTCAAATATCGTATTCTGATCACAAATTGTGAATTTGCGAGCATCAAATCACTTAAAAAGAATGTTGGTTACGATTTAAGGCAAACAATTTCATTACGACCGGTTTTTGTAAGGAGTTGTCCCACTGTGCAGTGATGTAGTGATAAGCGTGACTGCATCTCACTACAAAGAGTCTGAGTGCAATCCCAGTCGGAGCCATCGGTATAAAAGGGATGATTTTATAGACGCAATGCGTTTGGAGAAACAAAGTTTGTTCGAAAAATAAGTTAACTAAAAAACTACAAAATTATTTAAAAAACCTTCCGGTGACTACATTACTGAATCTTTTCATGTCTCGAAACATATCAAATTCTGCATACTGTTCATACAAATCTTCAATAGACTCTTACATTTCCCGATTGGGTGTAAGATGAGCATATATTTGCGATGACTAGGATTTTTTTAGCAGGCATAACATTTGATTTCAAGATTGAAACAAAAGTAAATTTTCTGAATGACTATCGAATAGATAATTTTTTAAATTCAAAACAAAATCTTGTATTTCCGATTTAATCTTAGCTTTGGAACTGTCTTAAGATTTGAAGAATTGCATAATCCACTTTGAAAATGATTTCTGATTTATGAGATATAAACCAACCTAAGTGATGAATTTAAAATTTTCACTAAATTGAGTATTCCAATAATTTCTTACATCGTCGGATATTTCCAGTCCACAATCTTCAAGATTATTCAGGTGTAAATAACATTAAAACAAAACAATTGGGTTACCGATGCAAATCAGCCTTCAAGCTACAAGCAAAGCGTATCCCAGCACATACAAAATAAGCTAATTAATCCATTGGATTTCGCCTCTCAATTTTTCCAGATTCCTTACGAAAGTATTCCCTTTCCAGCAAACTGCCATCATGACTATTTTGGTTTCCTAGCGCCAGCACTAATCACCCACCTCATTTCCTCTTTTCTCGTCCATTTGCAGATGCTGTGGTATCAGAACTCCTTCCTGTTGGACCCCACCGATCGCCGGTCCATGTTCTCCAAGGGCGACAAGTACACGCTGAACATTCGCAACTTTCAGCAGTCCGACTTTGGTAACTACAGGTAAGTAAGGGGCTCTCGCAACCCGCGCCAAGTGCTTTCTATTACCTTTATCAGCAGAATAATCATCATCAACATCATCAACATCATGATGGCTCCGTGGCACTTTCAAAGGAGAAATATTTACTTACGTAAGGACTGTTTCTCGCGTGCACGGTGGTTACGTCGGCACAGCATTGAGTGGAAGCAATTTCGACTGACTCAAACGGGGCGCTGCTGTTGACGGGCGACAACGACGTAGATTAAGATGATGGAAATGATTTTGAAGAGTTGGGGGTAAAGCACGTGGCTGGACCATTTGACTATATTTTTTTACATGGCAGATATTTAGAACGATACCGTGCTCTGCGATGACGAACTGAAGAAAATTAAATTTTCATCTTGTTCAAGTATTTTCATTCGCTCGATTGGGGCAGGTGGAGGTTCCTTGCAAAGTCGGCAAATTGTCTGGGAATGTTTCATTTTCGGTGTGTTGGGGGAATGTAAATTGTTCTGTTTGTCAGCTCATTTCGGGCATTTCTTAAGGATAATGGGTTGCATCCTTGATGAGAATCGTCATTTCGGTTGAAATTCAAATGAGACTGGTAGAGCTCTCAATTATTAACTTTTAAACAGAGAACATTTGTATTGTCTTCAAGTTTAAAATCTAAAACAGAAAGCATAATCTTGAAGATTCCGGAATCCTTTTTACCCGAGCAAAAAAACTTTTCCAATAATTGTATCCATGCACATGGTATAGATGGAAATGAGTTTTCAAAAAACAATTTAGACGATCGATTTGCCCGCCTTCCGTAAAACTTTCTCGTTCGTTCGTTCATTCTGATGGGATTCATTTCGGCTGCTGCAGCTTAAGACTGTAATTGACTGACGCTTCTCGTTTTCCATTTGCAAAATCGTACGCACTGATTCATTTTCCTTCCATCAAACTTCTCGGCCAAAGATAAACTTCTTCAAACAGTTATATCTGAGAGCATACGTATAGACGTCTCCGAACCTGAACAAAGTGTCCCCTCCTACGTGCGTCAAACGGAATTCCCACATTCACAATTCGTCTCAAAGCGGCCCGACTCTCGGTCCCACCAAAGTGACGGCTCAAGTCACCCACTCATTATCATCGCCATCACCGTCTTTCTCTGCTACGAAGAGGCAGGCGGAAAAGGTACCCGAAAATGCTCCATCTTCGTCGGCGTCATTAAAACTTTTCCTCCAGAGCCCGGGAAAAGTTTGTTGTGAAATCTGAACCGCAGGGAAAATTAGTGTTGGCTTTCTTGAAATTGCTGCAAAATGATGAGTGCCTGCCTGCCTGCCTGCCTGCCTGCCTGCCTGTGCCTGCCGTGGAACCGTACAGATTTGTTCTCACCCCGTGGGATCGAGTGACGGCAACTCACTGGGAGGGGGAGGGAGCGAACAAACGAGCTGTATACGGTGAGTTGTTGAAGCTGAATTCATCATAGAAGAAGTTAGGACTTAATTGACGGGATGCGCCTTTCTGAAGGTCAAATTTGATAATTTGTGGAAAATTTATCATTTAAATTGGCATAAAATATGTCTTACCCGAGTTATACGACATGGATAACAACTTATGATACTCGGTTATCTAGGTTTGATAACTGAATATTTTATCATTGGGGTTGAATGAACTTTCACCATAACAAAAATTATTAAAAAAAAAAAAACTAATTTTGTTATCATCGAAAATATCTTGATAACAAATCTTATGATCATTTCAAATTTTTTCCACCAATTTCAAATTTTGTCATAGATTTTATGTTAAAACCTTACACTGGTAACTGAAATATGATAAGCGTTGTATGGCCCAGTTTTTTTGTTATATGATGCGGATAATATTTAGAGTTTTGAACTAACCTTACATTTTTCGTAAACAATGAAGGTCCTATTTATTTCATGACAACAGCTGATAACTAAATTAGTATTTTGATAACAACTGATAAAAAGATGATATCTGGAATAACAGGACTTGTTAACTAGTTGATATCAGGATGTTATTATACTTTACTCGGGTAAATTGTGTTTCAGTAATAATATGATCTGAAAATCTGTAAGCATGCCCTAAGCTATCAATGTACAACAGTGGAAGCGCTCAAATGCCTTAAAAGATGCTGGCTAATTAGGCAGAAGGTCATGGTCATTAGGGTAAATTTTGGAAAATTATTACTTAACATTAGGGAAGATCATATGCTGGTCTGAAAGAGAAAAACCGGCAAATAATATAAGTGCCACTAATAATTCCGGACCTGCTGCTTTTCGACCCATCACACTTTTAAGCTGTATGTCTAAAGTATATAAAATGATGGTCAACCGGCGACTAATTACGGAATTAGAAACGAAAGGATGACTGGGATAAGCGACAACACGCCTTCCGATCCGAACGCGGCACTGAAACTCATTACGTGGAACTGTCTTATTGCGTCTCTTGAATAGAGATGGGCGATCCGCTCCAGAGCTGTTCTAAAGACCCGATTCACTAAAGTGAGCTGACGGCCCGCGGTTCATTTTTTAGGAACCGCAGCTCATCAGCTCACTGATATCACGAGGCTAAACCATTCCATCACCTGCACAAACAATAACCATAAGAAGCGCCTAACCACCCATTCGGAATATCATACCAACTCTATGTGATATGATAGTACCATCTATGATATCGTTAGTGAATGGTAGCCGTTTATTAGGTCATAAGTTTTCAGAAAATGACTCATATGACATTGAACAATGTTTGAAAGAATATATTGAAATTTGATGGTCGAGGAGATATGCACCAAGCCATCATCATTGGTGTTAAGGTCAAAACGGTTATTTTTAAGCAAAATGTCATGTATTGTCGAAATTTTTTGTCTGTTTCGAGATTTTATTCAAACTATAAACTCCAAACAGTCGGTTGACGCAAGACGCAGGGAAATGCCATCTCACCACCACATTGTGTTGTGGTTCAAACTGTAACCCCAAAAGTAAACCACATTTGGTTGGATCATCCAGAAAATAGTTACAAAAAGTTAAGATTTATCAGCTCTCTAAATTTTTGATCATCCACCTGAATCATTTCTCGAGGAATAATATTTGAAAATTTTCTGTGAGCATTAATACCGTTTGATGTCTTTTGATGTCCTTTTTTAACATTGGAAACCAAAGTGAATTGAGAACTATGGAAAAATCTGGACAAATCCTTGAAAACCTGGTCCAGACAAGAGATTGCCTGGATGTCTGAATGGACTATTAAAATCTGGAAGGTTGGCAACGCTGACTGGGAACCGTTTAGGATGACAGCTCTCGGACCCGTCCAACTCTTCGGATATTTTTCTCTCTCGATTCTTCACGATTCAGCTCCAGATCCGGATCTGAGCGGATGATCTGGAGCTGAAGCCAAGACTAGTGAGAGCAATTCTGCTGGAGAATCAACATCAACAATACAATCAGTACCTATAGCATGAGAAAAGGCGTAACATCGTGTCATCATATCTAGACACAAATTTAAAAGGGGCGGAAGAGCCAAAATGTGAACAAACTATATTTTGTCACATATAGAAAGAAAACAGTTCACAACCTTCTCAATAAACACGGAAAAATAGAAGAACACATAATTTCAAATCATAATAAACGGTTCCTCTTTTATGGCGTATGTCCAATTTTCAACTCTCTGATGCGTTTGGCTGTTACGTCTACATTTATTGTTTTAATAAATCTTTTAATTTTATCGAACCTCATTACGGAATCCCTTTATGAAGAGCTTACGGACTGTGTTGATTTATTTCCTTTGAATTCCGTTCTAATTGCTTATCTTTTGACAGATATGCGCATTCCGTCTACTACTTGCAGACTTCATCAAAGCCAAGAACTTAATATGCAAATCGTAGAGAATTCTGTAGTATCTAGTCACGTCCGAAAGTCGTGAAATGGGACTTTTGGGACCTCAAAATTCGGAAGCGGTTTTCTCAATATGGTTATTTTGGAATTCCGCCCTTTTCAAATGTTAGTCTTGATATCATCGCGTGTGAATAGCTGTAGCTCTCTTTCGCATACATTTGTTGGTTTTACTGATATGTTGTTGGCACATTTTGTGCCTATTTTTACGATTGAATGTAGTTTTAAGCTTACATACCTAGATCTATTAATTAAAGGTCACCGAAACCGCTTATTTCTTTTCCGATTTTTAAATTATGTCATAGTTTCTATAATTTCAAAGTGAGCTGAAGAACTGCTCAAGATAACCGGTTCCCCTTAGAGAGCTGGACGGGTCTGATTCGCTCAGCCAGATGAGCTGTTTTACTCACCTCTACTCTGGACCTGTCAAAGACATAAAGGGTGATACGGTCAAAATTTGGCCAAGGGAAAACGCGTGTAAATCGGTGAAATCGTTTATTTAAAAAATCAAATTAAATTTCTTTTTTCAAGTTCAATTAGTATAAAATTCAGGAAAAATATTCAGTTAGGCTTCCGCTTTTCCAAATCCGAATTGCCGGGTCTTACGCTTGACCCCTGCCATCAGATTTTGTACAGCCACCTTGTCCACCTTCTTCGCCGCAGAAAGCCAGTTTGCCTTGAACTGCTGCTCGCCCTTAGCAGTTTTTTTGGTCTTCTTTAGGTGCCGCTTGACAATAGCCCAGTATTTCTCAATTGGGCGGAGCTCTGGCGTGTTCGGAGGGTTCTTGTCCTTGGGAACCACCTGCACGTTGTTGGCGGCGTACCACTCCATGGCCTTTTTACCGTAATGGCAAGATGCCAAATCCGGCCAAAACAGTACGGAACAACCGTGTTTCTTCAGGAAAGGCAGCAGACGTTTATTCAAACACTCTTTCACGTAAATTTCTTGGTTGACAGTCCCGGAAGCTATGAAAATGCTGCTTTTCAAGCCACAGGTACAGATAGATATTTCTTTGCGAACTTTGACAGTTTCATGTGCTTGAAAACATCTGCTACCTTTCCCCTTCCTTTTGCCGTATAAAACTCCTGTCCCGGAAGCTGATTGTAGTCGGCTTTGACGTAGGTTT